TCCTCCTCCTCCTCCTCCTCCTCCTCCTCGTTCTCTCGTTCTCCTCCTCCTCCTCCTCCTCCTCCTCCTCGTTCTCCTCCTCCTCCTCCTCCTCCTCCTCCTCCTCCTCGTCGTCGTCTTCTCCGCGCCGCCTCGGTGCGGATCTGGCCGTGGCGGCGAGAGGCCCCCGGGAGGCCTTCAGAGGGGCGACGAGGAACGCCGGGGAGGGCCGCCACTGCCTCGGCAGCCGACGGCACGGTCTTGTGCAGCCCGCGGCCCCCAGAGGAGGAGGAGGATGAGGAGGAGGAGGAGGAGGGAGGAGGAGGAGGAGGAGGAGGAGGAGGAGGAGGAGGAGGAGGAGGAGGAGGAGGAGGAGGGAGGAGGAGGGAGGGAGGGAGGAGGAGGGAGGAGGGAGGAGGAGGGAGAAGAAGACGACGAGGGAAGCATCCGTTTCCCCCGGGTGCAATGCTTCGTCCGGGATCCATCTTTCATGGTCCCGGGGCCCGGCAGCAGGCCGCCGTGCCGTGGCCCCGGATCCTCCGCATTTGGGGCGATGTTGGAAGCAGGGCGGAGGTTCCCGCCCTGCTTGTTGAGCTCCTCCGACGCTGGCTTCCGCCCTACCTTGCCGTCGCTGCTTCCGCCACACTTGCAAATCGGAAAGTCAAACAAAGCCAAGTGGATCGGAGTCGGGGCAGAGGGGGGGACGGGTTCCTTAGAATGAGGCTGGTTCTTAGAGGGCGCCTGCCGTCCTTCGAAGAAGCCAGCGGCGCGCCGCAAACAGCTTCTTAGAAGCATGCAGCAACTTCTTAGCGCAAGCCAGCCGCTTCTTCGAAGCACGCCAGGAACAGCATTTCTGAGAAGCAATCGCCAGCTTCTTAGAAGGGGGGCCTGTGCCTTCAAGAAGAGGGGTGTTTCCAAAAAGCCTTTCCCCCTCCCTCCACCCCCCTTCGTGCGTGGCGGATCCTTGGCGTCGGGCTTGGTGCAGCGCTGGACCGGGTGCTGCTAGAAGTGGTTCTGGCCCAAGGTGTCTCAAGCTCTTCGCACCATCTCGGAACCCTGAAGGAGGAGGGGGAGGGAGAGGAGGAGGGGGAGGAGGGGGAGGAGGAGGAGGAGGAGGAGGAGGAGGAGGAGGAGGAGGGGGCCCTCTGGGCCTCGTGGAGGCCATCTAGGCCTCCCCAACATGGGGACACCTTGGGCCAGGAGCACCGTTGGCCGCACCCGACTGGAGGAGGCGGCGCGAGTCGTGGGCGAACTCGCGCATGCCCTGCACGCAGTAGCCGATGGGATTGCTCTTGTCCGTCAGGAAGGGCAGGGCAGACAATCCGGACGCCATGGCCCCCTCAGCAGGCCTCTCTCGCCAATCCGCGCGGCTGCTCCCAAAGTCCACCGGGGCAACCAGCCCTGGCTTGAGTCCAAACGGTCGTGGACGGTGGGTAGGCGCGCTTGGGGAGGCCACCAGGGGAAATGCTGGCGAATCCAGCCTGGCACTCACGTCGTCCACGTCGCTGGAAAATCCGCCGACTCTGTCAGCGTCTGTGGGGGGCTTTTCCGTTTGAGTCGTCGTCATCGTCGTCGTCGTCGCCACTCCCTTCCCTTGAAGCTTTTCCGTTTGAGTCGTCGTCGTCGTCGTCGTCGCCGCTCCCCCAGCCCGAGATCGTTCCCAGACGACCCACGATACCCTCAAGACGGCCTCGAAAGCTCCCAAGGCGCCCCTGAGAGGGCTCCAGGAGGAGCCTCAGGAGGGCCCCAAGAGCGCCCGACGCTCCAAGACGACCCAGGAAGCCACCGACGTCACCCCAAGACGGTCCAAGAGGCTGCCAAAAGCGCGCAAAAACGGCCCAAATCGGCCAAGACGGCCCACGATGGTCCCAAGACTGCCCAATAGGTCCCCAAGACGGCCGAATAGGGTCCCAAGAGGGCCCCCAAGAGGCTCTCGAGAGGGAACACCAACCGAAATTTCGAGCCTTCGGCTCCAAGAAGCTCCCAGGAGGCGCTCAAGAAGTCCCCAAGAGGCTCCCTAGAGGCCCAAGAGAGCCCCAGTAGCACTCTCAAGAGAAACCCAAGAAGATAACGTCGATGATGTTTCCTAATGGTTTGAATGATTTTCGTCGTCGTCGTCGTCGTCGTCGTCGTCGTCGTCGTCGTCCGTCGTCCGTCGTCCGTCGTCGTCGTCGTCGTCGTCGTCGTCGTCGTCGTCGTCGTCGTCGTCGTCGTCGTCGTCGTCGTCGTCGTCCCCCTTCAGGGTCGGCGGCACTGGCCGTACGGCCTTCGCAACATGGCACAATTTTATTTGGACGCACCCCCGATCATAGCTCTGTGTGTACATAATCATCTATTGAGTGCTTCAACATCACTCTCTCTCTCTCTCTCTGAGGAGGCTGCTTCTCCGAGGGAAGCTGCTTCGTAGACAGAGGCTGCTTCTCAACAGGAGGCCGCTTCTTAGGAGGCGCCCGTAGCCTGCGGATGGACCAGGGAACAGGCGACACCGCCCTGCCTACGGCCCCGCGGGGCTCAGCGTGTACGAGGAGGTCTCGCGTGGCTTCTTGCGTGGTGTGCGCCACGGCGCCCGGTGGGCCGAAGCGCAGCGTGGAGGGCCGCAGGTGGGGTGGTATCGTTCGCTTGTTTGTGAAGGGGCACCAGGACAGACAAATGAATACACACAAATAAAAGGATTCCCCATATTTTACAACATTGTCTGGGTTTTTGTCTTCCCCCCCACTTCCCATATTGTCCCATATTTTCCAATATTTTCTGGGGGATCGACGATTAATTGTGTCTGTGTGTTTCTTTCCCTCCTGAGTCTGGTCGAGCGGAGGAGTACGGCCAGACCGCGGATGTGATAACGTCCTTCCATCGGCGGCGAGCGAGGGGGGGAAATGAGAGGGAGAGGGCCTTCTCGGAAGGCGGCGGGGCTTCTCAGAAGCCCTCGCGCCTTCTGTTAGGTCGGGCATGTCCTCCTACAGGCGGACTTTGGACGAACAGTACGTAAAACTATTCAACAATAGTAAAAACATACTGAACAAGTGCTCAACAAATCGTCCCCTGACCATTTTTGACCATTTTTTGATATTCCTCCTGTAGAGGGACAGGCCCGACTTAAGCCTTCTGGGAAATTGTCTGCGTCTTCGGGGAAGGCTTCGGACACTTCTCCGGAGGCCAGAGGAGCTCCGAGCCTTCTGAGAGCAGGCCCACCCGCTCTCCCTTCCCCCCCTCCGGCTGGCCGCCGAAGCCTGTGGAGGAGTGCGGCTGGGCCACGGATAGAATCGGGGGCGCGCAAACACGGATCGGGGGAGGTGCCCTCCCCAAACTGCGGCCGGCGCCGCCTCGTTCGGCGGCGGAGATCCGCGATTTCCCATGGAAGCGGGACCCGTGGCTAATCCACGCCCCCTTGATCCACGTTTGCGATCGCCTGAGGATAGAAGAGCATCCTTCAAGAACATGAGACCATCCCCCTGCCTGACTGAAGAACACTCGAGGGTACCCTTCCCCAGGATGCACAATAGCATGCAACAGGCACGAAGAACACTGTGGGTACCCTCCCCAAGCCGACTACTTCGGTCCAGCCTTAGCCACCTCTTGCTCCTTTTCCTGTGCCCCGTCGCTTCTGTCTCCTCTTTTTCTCTGGAACGACTCTTCACGCCAGGTCAGGAAAGCCGGTACAAAAAATGCCAGATGAACTAGAGCTTGCGTAACGTGACAGAGACTATTGCAGGCCGGATTTCTCACATGTATGTAATTGTGAAACCGTTGAGGTAGTAGGAGATCGGAGGAGGAAGAGGGGTTCGGACCAGGACGAGCAGCATGGGGAACAGGACGATGGCGTTGAGATAGGAGGAGGATGAGGAGGAGGAGGAGGAGGAGGAGGAGGAGGAGGAGGGGCAGGAGGAGGAGGAGTAGTAGGAGGAGGACGAGGAGGAGGAGGAGGAGGAGGACGAGGGGTTCGGATCAGGAGGATGAGGAAGAGGATGGGGAGGACGATGGCGTTGAGATAGGATTTGTGGTGACAGGGTGACAACGACGACAGGATGACGATGAGGATGATGACGATTAGAGCATGAGGAACAGGAGGAGCACGATGACAGGACCAATCGGCATCGAATCGGGAAGCCGGATCGAATCGGAGCGTGCTTCAGATCGGGCCGCATCGTCCGCCTCGTTACGAAATCGAAATGGGGATCGGATCGGATCGGTCGCGCCAACATGCACAACAATTCCATGGTAACATCGGCTCGCATCGAACCGCCGGGATATCGTAGTCGAACCGGAAAGAACCTGCCGTAATCGACATCGAATCGGATCGATCGCGCAAACTCGACCCCGGTGGATGGTGAGAACGATGAAGACGATGAGGAATTATTTCTGAGGTTGAATGACAGCTATGTCGCAGAGAATCAGCGCGTCCAGATCAGCAGGTGGTCGGCGGGAAGCACTGCTGTGCCCCGAGCTTGTGAGAGTGCGCCTGGTTGAATGTCGAAGATGAGGAAGAATCGGCACGGCAGACCGACGCAATCTTACAGTGTCCTTGCGCAGGTCTGTCATGCTGGGATTCCATGTATTTGCTCACAAGGACCCCGCGTGCTTTTTCTGAATCGCCAATGACATCGACATTCACGTCCGCGTGGATTTCTTCAGAGAAGGCGCCGTTGCGCATTCGCTCGCAATGATCTGCCACGCTGTGGCCGTCACACATGGCGTTGTGCTGGTCTCCAAAACCATCACCCGATATGACAATGTACCGGCTGAACGTATGATTATGCGGTTTCTGCAAATCGCCCATGACAGCCGAGCATAGTACCAGCACTGTGCTAAGCGGTCCTCAACAGGCCCTCGTTCTGCCTATGTGCAACCAGCTATTGCCCCTTATTGCCCAATAGTGTCCCAATGCGACGCCGCTAGCAGGGCTCGAGGGAGCCCAAGAGGGCTCGCAGACGTTTCCAATCCTACGGCACCTGAGAATAGGTCGGGCATGCCCTCCTACGGTCGGATGTTTGACGAAGCAGGTTAAAACACATCGAACTATAATCAACAATGACGAGCAAGAAACACGACAAATCGTCCCACAACTATTTTTTGTTGCCTCTTCTCTAATATTCCTCCTGTCGTGGGACGTGCCCGACTTCACTAAGCCCAAGCCACGAAGCCGGGGGGGGGGGCGGGGCGGCGGCGGAGGGCGGCGCCCCCTCGACGGGACCCCGGGGCGGAGCGGCGAGGGACCGCGGGGCGCGGGCGCAGCGTGGGGAGAGACGCGGAGGAGCTCGCTCGGGAGGAGGGAGGAGCTTGGAGGATGTGGAGGGAAGGGGGAGGATGAGGAGCAGGAGGGGGGGGGGAGGAGGGAGGCGGAGGTGTGCGGGAGGAGAAGTGGGAGAGGGAGGGAGGATGGGGCGGGAGGAGGAGGAAGAGGATGAGGATGAGGATGATGCTGATTGAGGAGGAGGAGGAGGAGGAGGAGGAGGAGGGAAGAGATCAGGGACGTGGAGGAGGAGGAGGAGGAGGAGGAGGAGGAGGAGGAGGAGGAGGATCAGGAGGAGGGGGAGGAGGAGGAGGACGATGTGGAAGGGCGAAGGGGAGGGAGGAGGGAGGGGAGGGAGGAGAAAGACGAGAGGCACACTGCCCTCCCTCTCGGGCAGCGAGGCGCCTCGGCTCCCAGGGAAAGAGAAGGGGGGCGGGGGCGAGGTCGGGGCCTCGGCGGTGTGAGAGGCGCAGCAGCCCGCTGCCGCGGTGGCCAACCGGCGCCCTCCAGGCCGCCCGGCCCGACAGGCGGGGTGAGACATGGGCCCGAAGGGAAACACCCCTCGGGTGCGCCGGACAGGGGGGCGAGGAAGAGCGGGCTCAGCGCACCGTGGCCCGAGGCGCGTGCGCGGACGAGGAGGGCCGTGGGGCGTGCTGGACGAGAAGGAGAGGGGGTCATGGAACCTGGGAGGTTCCATGATCCCAACAACGATGCGCGTCCACGCGCCCCCCCAGTCCCCCCCCCCCTCTGGGGCGCCCCCGGAAGAGCACGGAGGGTCGCAGCTGCGATGTTGGGGTGCCACTCTCCGCAGGGCTCTGTCTAGCAGCTGCTCTAGAACCCAATCGTCAGCGACCGCCAATACGAATCAATAGAGCGATCACTGACCAGGTGTCTTGTCTACAACCAGCGTCGACAAGCTAAGCATTCACACCAAAACAAACGAATGATGTGATCTGGAAAACATGGCAAGCCGAATGACCGCCAACGTCAACAATTTCTTCCAGCCTGAGACGAAACATGACTCAACCCTCCTTTGTCCTCCTCCTCCTCCTCCTCCTCCGTCCTCCTGCTCCGTCCTTTTGTTTCGTTTTCTTCGTCGTCCTTTTCCTCCTCCTCCTCTTCCTCCTCCTCCTCTTCCTCCTCCTCCGCTTCCTCCTCTTCCTCCTCCATCCCCTCCTCCTCCTCCTCCTCCTCCTCCCCCTCCTCCTACGTCTTCCTTCTGCCCCCTATCCGTCGTCCTTCTAGTCGTCGTCCTTCTCAACGATTACACAATATGAATACTACTCTCCTCTCTCTCTATGTGACGTCCGAGAAATTTCTTGCCCCCTTCCGCGTACTGGTTTTTCACACACAGAATTCCCGGGAGTTTGGGTTTCGCTTCGTTTTTTGTCAAAATGCTGCTCTCGCTGCAGCGCTGGCCTCATTTTCGGGCTACCGCTCGTTCCGAATCGTGCTCCCGCTGCAGCGCTGGCCTCATTTCCGCGCTTCCGCTCGTTTCGAATCGTGCTCCCGCAGCAGCGCTGGCGTCATTATTTCCAGCGCCATGCCACGGCATGGTTTTCGGTTCTTCCAGATAGGCATCAAAATCTAGAAATTGCACCCCCGTAAAAAAACGCCGGAAGTTATTACGGATTCGGTGCCGATTCGTGTTTTTCCCAACCATCCTGTGGTGTTGGGTCCTCGTTTTGAAGAGACGGTGCCCCGCGTTCCTCTCCTCCTCCTCCTCCCCCTCCTCCCTCTTCCCATCGTCATCATCATCATCATCATCATCATCATCATCATCATCATCATCATCATCATCATCATCATCATCATCATCATCATCATCATCATCATCATCATCATCATCACCACAACACAACCACCATCATCATAATCATCAGCATCATCATCATCATCAATCATCATCATCATCATCAGCATCATCATCAGCACAGCATCATCATCATCATCATCATCATCATCATCAATCATCACAACATCACCATCCATCATCATCATCCATCATCATCAGCATCAGCATCAGCATCAGCATCAGCATCATCATCATCATCATCATCATCATCATCATCATCATCATCAGCAATCATCATCATCATCATCATCATCATCATCATCATCATCATCATCATCATCATTATCATATCATCGTCATCATCATCGTCATCGTCACCCACGCCCATTTCGGCACAACCCCTCATACGTTTCGTGGCCCCATAGGGAGCTCCACCGAAGGCCCCAGTGGCAGGGTCCGCATGCCTCCCCACACCCATTTCGGCACACCCCTCACACGTTTCGTGGCCCCATAGGGAGCTCCACCGAAGGCCCCAGTGGCAGGGTCCGCATGCCTCCCCACCACCCATTTCGGCACACCCCTCACACGTTTCGTGGCCCCATAGGGAGCTCCACCGAAGGCCCCAGTGGCAGGGTCCGCATGCCTCCCCCCCACCCATTTCGGCACACCCCTCACACGTTTCGTGGCCCCATAGGGAGCTCCACCGAAGGCCCCAGTGGCAGGGTCCGCATGCCTCCCCACCACCCATTTCGGCACACCCCTCATACGTTTCGTGGCCCTATAGGGAGCTCCACCGAA